GACCAACTGCCCCCTCTCGCACCCCTGAATCAGTGACCATGGGGGAGGTGGTCTGGGGAGAGGGGGGGCCCCTCAGGCCGCAGCCAGCTAGCTGAACTGCCCATGCTCTATTAAACCCAATAGGGCATGAAAAAAAAAAAAAAAAAAAAAAAACGACCAGAACCACTGACACAGATGGCCCAGGGGCTGGGGGCCTGAGGGAGGCAGGGGGGTCAGGGCGCCCTCTGCGCTGGACAGGGGCGGGGCCTGGCGCGGCCCAGCCGGCTCCCGTCCTCCCAGCCCTGGCTGGGCGGGGTCACGGGGAGGGAAGAGGGGCCTGGACTGCTCCAGAGGGAGGGGGCTGGACAGGAAGGGTGGGGCCCGGGCCACGCGGCGGAGGTAACCCTGACCCCGGTCACCACGCTGCACAGTCACAGGTACGCAGTCACGGTCACAGACACTCACAACCCGAGAGCACCCCAAGCCCCCCACCCTGCCCACCCGTGGCTTCCCTCCGCGAGGCGCCCGCCCCAAGCCGCTGCCCGCCCCTGGGCCTGGTCGGGCCAGAGCAATAAATACACGGACCTCGGTGCCCGCAGCCGCCGCCCTCCCAGCTGGCAGCGAGGAGGGCCCGGCGCGCCCGCCTGGCTCCATCCACGGGTGGGGGTGCGGGGTCCTGACTTCCACTCCTCACGGCCCTTTCACGGAAAGGGTTGGGGACCCCCTACCCGCGCGGGCAGCGAGGGGTCCTGCCTCTCGCCGCCCCCCCCTCACCGGGCAGTGAGATCAGCGTCGAGGGGGTGGGGTCCCGCACGCCCAGTGGGGCGCGCTCCCGCCGGGCGGAGCCCAGGAGCCAGCCTGGGGGAGGCGGGGTGAGCTCGGGCCTGGGGTCGCCGGCGCGGGCCGCCCGCGTCTCTTTCGCCCCGAGGGGCGCCAGCGGGGACATCCAGGCGCCCGGAACGGGTGGGGGCGTCCCTTTCCGCAGAGACCGACTGGTGGGGCCGAGGGCGGCAACGGCGGAGGGCACGCGCTGGGGGTCTCCATGCCTCGCGGGGGAGGGACGTGGGCTTGTGTGTCGGGGAGGCGAGCCCTGGCGGCGTGGGGAGGTGCTCCCGCGGGGGTGCGGCCTGGAGAGGCGAGTGGGTGCAAGTGTCCAGCGCTCCAGTGCGCAGCGCGCGGTCGTGCCCAGCCGCGAGGCAGCGGGTGGCCCTCCCGCTGCGCCGC